CCAAGGCGGACACAGTTAAAAGGCCCCTGATGACGATGTCACAAGGATCAGCCAGGGGAGTGAGTGAAGGTTGGAACTTTCAAATGCTACTGATTTTAATTCCCAACATTAATTTATTTTAATTACTTACAACAGTTAGCTTCATAATAGTCCAAATTCAAGTTGCTTTGTTTTTAGTTTTTCCTTTCTCTTTTTAATTTTCTGTTTATTTGAACTTTACATTTTCATTTCTTTCCTAATTCCCAGGTTTTGATAAAATTATGATGACTATCAGTCTGTTAAGAAAAATTCATCCTTAAATCTTGTAACTTGAAGGCTACATTTGAGCACTGACAGAAGACTGCATTAACCACCTTTTGCTATAAAACGACATACTTCAATTTGTTTTTTCTCATATTAGTAAGATATTCAGAATATTTCTTTAACAACAAAGCAGGTCAGAATATGGAATGCATACTTTTGCATAGCACATCAATGTAACCATAAAGTAGGGCTCAGGGAATAGAAAGCTGTAAACACATCCAGCGCGTTACAACCCATTTCAAGAGAGAAAGGACACCCGGAAGAGGGCGTGGCCTGCAGCTGCTTTGGGACACAGATCGCACACCTGCAGCACTGGGCCGAGCCAGGTGGCAGGTGGCACCCTGCAGGAGAGGCTGGGTTTAGGTAATTCAGTGATAAGGCCGAGGTTCTGGCTGACCAGCCCGGGACAGATAGGGTCATGGTGACAACAGGGCTGTCATGGCCTGGGCGGTCCTCACCTCTCCCACAGCCGGGAGCCGCTGACTAGTAACATTTACAAATTGTTCCTCTTAAAACCGAAACAGCATACGATTATTAATGTGAAATTTACTCTTTTGGAACTGCACTCATTTCAATGAGGTATCATTTAAAGCATGCCTTTGCTGAATTTATGAGAAATATATTCTAACGAGGAAAGGACCATTTCAGATGGCACCTCATTTGTTTTAGAGAAAAAAAACTTTAACCTGTCTGGAAAACATCTTTCACAATGTAATTTAGAAATAAAAGGTTCAGCAGACTCACCTACTTGTACGTTCTGTGCTTCCTAAAACACATTATACAAATTAAGGCATAAAACCAGGGCTGCGTCGTGTAAACCTGTGTATGTAGCGCCCAGACACTAGGGACAAATGAGCGGCACCTGGGGTCTGCTAGCTGCCCGAGGCAATACTTCTTACAGCAAAACTCAGAGGAGACCTGCCTTTTGTACAATTGGTGACACATATGCGACGTGGACGGGCAGTGTGGCAGACACTGTTCCAGGGCACAAAACAAATGCGACAGTCCTTGTGGAACCGATTTCAGCTCTCTTCCTCCCATACAAGTTCATTTGTTAATGATCAGCATGTCAATTACATAATTCCTTTCCATTTATTAAAGCAAGTCCCTCTGGCCCTCTTCACTTGCGAGCACTCTAAGGGTAGTTATTAAATGTGCTTACTTGAAGGTTTACTAGTTCATAAAATATATGGCAAACATTTTGACACATTTAGATCAGCTTCATCCCATTTGTATATTTAATAATTTAGATTTTACAGTATTCATAGACATTTCTAAAAATGTCTCCTCTTAACTTCATAGAAATTTTTTCTTAGTCTCTACTATTGTTGATCTCTTTCCAAAACAGCATCCATGCTCCTTGAAGGCAAGTCATTTGCCTTCTGTTTCCCTCGTGGCTCACTGACGGCGTGAGCAGTGAGAAGGGCACCGCCAAGGCGTGGGAAATGCCCCACCCCTGACCGGGTGAGTGGCCTAGTCTTCGTCATTGAGGCCCGGCTCTGCCACGTGTCAGCTGTGGGTAAATGACTTAACCTGCTCATTTACAAAATGGAGACAATGTCATGGGCTTCCCGTTAATTAAGACAACAGCGAGCTTGTCTGAATTTGTGTGTGGGCATGACCACTGTGCATCCTGCTGAAGTTGTTTACTGCTGTTGCCTCAGTTTCTCCATCTGTCAAGTGGAGCAGTAACAGCATGTGAGGACTGGAGGAGTTACTATATGAAGGACACTTAGAACAGGACCCAGGCCATAGGAGCACTTGACATATATTGGTTATCATTAATAACAAATAGGAGAAACTGTTCCTGACAATGAAATAATTAGCAAAAAAGAGACTGAAGTATTTTCCCCGAGATCTCTTAAAAACTAAACTAAACCAGAGGAAAGCCATTGAGTTGGAAAAGAAGCAGAAGGTGACACTGATGACCTCTGGAAATCACTGCGCAGTGACTTTTTCCAGAGATCTAAAATGCACACACCACAGAGATGCAAGCTGAAAATCTCACTAATAATCTGAGTAGTTAAAAGGAAGGAAAAAACCACTTCGTTTGGGACCCTGTTTAAAAGGATCAACGAGAGAAATACCCAGGTACTGACGGAATGACACGTGCTACGAGCATCATTTCCAGAGCTGGTGTTTGCTGGGAGAGGAAGTGGGGGAGGAAAGGCGAGCGGTCCTGATGGAGCAGCACCAGGACCCTGGGTTTCAGCACCGGTACCTGGAACCAGTTACGGAACCAGGAGGGGCCACCCTCACAGTGGAACGTGCTGGAGATGTGGCCTGGGAAAAGGTGCACACGCAGAGCACAGAAGTACGGACACTTTCTTTCAAAGTTAGAAAGTGCTGTGTGTGGAAATTACCATCCCTATTTTATTTATTTTTGTTTTTAAATAGATTTTTATCGATTTCAGAGAGGAAGGGAGAGGGAGAGAAGGATAGAAACATAAATGATGAGAGAGAATCATTGATCGGCTGCCTCCAGCATGTCCCCGACTGGGGATTGAGCCCGCAACCCGGGCATGTGCCCTTGACTGGAATTGAACCCAGGATCCTTCAGTCTGCAGGCTGATGCTCTATCCACTGAGCCACACCAGGTAGGGCATCATCCTTACTCTAACGGTTTCTAATACCAGTACAGCCTAAACTCAGCACGTTTGCTTTAGGAAAACCTCGGGACAGCAGCCTCTCGGCCCTATAACCACGTGGTGGGTCCACTGGGCTGCATTTGTGTCAGCAGCTCCGAGTGGACGTGAAATTCAAACTCACTGACGTTAGAATCAGAAGCAACTTCCAAGGTAACATAATCCCATTTCCCCAAGAATAAAACAGTTCCCAGTGAGCACCTGTCCCAGGACACAGCAGCTTGGATGAGCCCCTCAGGGGCTCAGTGCTCTTAAATTAAGAACCCTAGTGTTCAACAATTCCAGAAAACCGAAGGCTTTACTCCGAAAAGAAATCCCTTTTTCTTCGGAAACTATCGTCCCTTATACTGTCAGCGCTTTCCTGGTCGTTCACAAGACTCGTCAGACATCCTCCTTCCTCTGCGAGAACAGCGGAGAGGAGGCTGCGGCTGAGCTAGGAGCAGAGGGCAGCCCTGAAGGGCGCAGGAAGCCGGAGCCTTCCTGGTGGAGCCAGGCCTGAGCTGCTACCCCAGTGAGACCACGGCTCTGACCTGGTCTCCGGTTACATTCTGAGCAAAAGCCCACATTCCCTGTGCCTCTCACAACTTAGGATCTGCGTTCCAACTTTCACAAGTTTCCTCTTTTCACGACAGCCCAGGAAACTCCATGGTGACCAGCCACCATGCCGGGCAGGCTTGGGGGGCGGGGTGGGGGGGCCTCACAGTCCTGTCAACTGGATGGAAATTCCCAGGGCGCCCTCCAGCTCAATCATGGAAACCATTCACGACACACCTGCACCCCTCTGCCCACAGGCACGGACAGAGGCAGGAAGGGCCGTGAAGAACGTGGTGTGGGGGCTGCTAATACGGTCTTCCTACCAGAAATAGTTGGCTGGTAACGAACCAAGCACAACAGAACAAAATGCTACGCCGGAGGCACTGAAGGCGCATTCATTCCTTCCGAAGGAGATCTTTAAAAACAAGACAACCCACCTTCAAGCTGCAAGGGCCAGCAACCAGCCAGGAAAGCCTCCCGAGGAAGCAGGGGGAGCCGTGGAGGCGCCGGGGCCCCGCAGCACCGCCAAGGCCTCTGGGAAATCAGAAGCTTCCACACAGCACACCCGGCCGAGCTATGGAGGGTGAGCACCTTGCTCCAGTGCCCTAGTAGGAACTCATCATCTTCACTGGGACACGCCTGGTGTTTTCAGAAGTGAGGAAACTGGGAATGGGGCCAGATGATCTCATTCTGTCTAAATTAACCTTTAATGTTTAATTCCCATAAACAAAATATTAAAAAGGTGCTAAATTCAAATGCCTTGTCAAAAGTGACTTTGGGGGAAAAAATATACATATATATATCTCAGGTTTTAAACCTGATAAAAGGATTCTCCATGTATATGACAAAACATACATCCGCTTCCAGGAAGGCACAGAATGCAAACACTGCAATTTTGGGCATAATTCCACTTATTTTTCTACTCTTGCCTAAGTGTCCCCTTTGAAAGACGTGTCCATTTCAGGCTTTCTCCCGTCTTCTGCGAGAAAGACGGGTGATGGTTGGAAAATTAGAACTATTAACCTGATCTGGTGCTTTGGAGACAAACTGGAGGAGATTTAATGGGACGACATCCTTCTGAACCGTGAGCACGTTATCGTAAGGATAATTACGCAGAGGAGGAGGGAGCAGACCAGAATTCAACATAATGAAACCCGAGTTTTAAAGAAGACACTTTTGAGGACAAGGCTTGTGCCTTTTTCTGAACAAGCATTTAGAACTGTAATACAGAAATAAGAGTTTACGCCTTTATTAGTAACACGTGTGAAAACACTTACCGTGTGTCTGATGCACGGATGCTTAATGAAGAGTTTCTATAATTATTATTCCCATCATTATGGGCAACTAAAGGGCTGTGGGTTCGCATGAACCTCACCAACCTGTCAGGTAACACATAACGGGATCTTAAAAGATGTTTACAACACTCAGATCTTGATGAACTAATATATGAACAAAATGGCTGCACCCACTGCCAGGCATCTGGAAACACCTTTTTCCTTCCTTCCTTTTCTTTCTTACCTTGTGGTCCATACTGGCTCATCTGTGGACCATACGTCCCACTCGAGTTGCTCTGCTGAAAGCTGCTGATCCCAGGATGCATCTGGCCCCCAGGAGAGGGGTGAGGAGACATGGATGGGCCTGTCTGCTGAGGTCCATACTGAGACATCTGGGGGTTTCTTTGTGTGCCTGCCATGAAACCTAAGCAGGAAATAAAAGGAAATACATAAATGCAGGTGACAAACACGGCCATGGAACTGTGGAGGGGGTGGGAGAAGGTAACATCGAGGTACATCTCAGACCCAGTGTGGGGCTTTCGGAGAGCCTCGGGGGGCTACCCTGGCCTCACACTGAACTCTCAGAGTTCCCAGAACCAGCGGATGCGGACTTGAACCAGGGAAAGGAGACGAGGGAGGAAAGGCAAGTTCCTGTAGCCTGCCTTACGGAGGAGGTCCCCACTGAAAGCAACTGTAAGAGTGGGACCCTCCTTCCTGCCGGATGGACATGCTGCGCACGCCACCACGAGGGAGCTTTGCTCACTTCCTCATCTGTGGGACGCTGTCACTCAAACATCCCACCCTCCTCACGCCCCGGCCGACAGCAGCCTCCTCCATCATGTAAGTGTCCTCCTCCTTCTGTCTCCTAGAGCAACAACCATTCACCTTGACTCCTATGCAGAGTGCAGACCTGGGAGTCCCCGACTCACACTACTGCTGTGGGCGAACTGGAAACAACCAGCGGGGTGGCGTGTATCCGCTATTCCAGAACAGAACAGGACTTGCCCTGCAAACCGCTCTGCCCGACATATCCCTGTCTCCATGGACCATGGACGGCACCACCAACCACCACACGCTCACACCAGGAACCCGACACCATGCCTCCTCCTTCCCTGATTTCCTGTGCGATCCATCCATCCACACATCCCCCAGCCTCCACATCTGGAACGATCGCCTCTGCTCCATTCCCACGTCCACACGAGCCAGCCCAGCTCCCTCTTCCTTTCCCATAGCTGCCGTGGTCTAACTCCCCTCCCTCTGCCTCTGCCTCTCCCTCATTTTGTTGCTTTGGTTCCCTTTTCACAAAGCTGCCAGACGATTTCTCAGGACCCAGAAAGAAACGAGAGCATGTCTTTCCCTGCGCAGAACCCTCCAAGGCTCCCTGCTGACCCCGGGAACACAGCACCAACTCCTGGCCTGGGATCACTGTCTTGCTCTAACCCCATTCCCCTGCTTTCTCCTCCTCCTCACTACCCTGAGTCCACAGCCTTCTGGGAGTTCTCCCACTGCCAGCTCAGGCCACCAGGCCACCCAACCCAGGCATGTGCTCTGACCGGGAATCCAACTGTGACCTCCTGGTTCATAGGTCAACGCTCAACCACTGAGCCACACCAGCCGGGCTGAAATACACTCTTAGACAAAGTGCTCCACAAATCAAGACATGCCTCTAAGAAAAGGCTAACACCAAACCAGCAAACTAACAAAGCGCTGCTGGAGAAACAGCTCTGAGAACCCCGAGTTGGGTGCTGAGAGCTCCCGGGCACTGGGCGAAGGCTCCAGTGTGCTGGACAGGGCCAAGAGGGGCAGGTTCTGCCTCGTCCGGAAGGGAACCTAGAGCAGAGCTTCCGGAGAGGCTACTGAGGCAGCAGGAGGGGCAGGCGATGTCTGGAGCCAAGGTGGGCTTCCATCAGGGGTCAGCTGGGACAGGGCATTTACAGAGCCCTGGTGGCAAACATCGAAAAAAGATCTTTTGCCGTTGCTTCTGTATAAAGAGATAGACATAAAAGTATGGAGAGCTGTTCCTTATTATCCTATTTCATTTATTTATAAAGATGAGCCTTATGAAATTGAGCTCAATTGGCAGCTTCCAGATATAAATCAGCACAGAAAATGTTTGCTTTTTCAAATCTGAAAACAAACAGAAATCAGAGCACGAAAATTGCTAAAAATGACTGCATCTTAAGACGTTACATGAAATATTTATCTAAGCCTTACGATAAGATTCTCAGGAGTTTCACATAGAGTCCCGTTTAATAAAAAACGTGTTTCCATTCCGTACAGCCTGTGTGGGCTTTCTTCCTTCCGGAGAAGGACTGCGTTCTTCCTCATCAAGTTAGGAAGACACAGGTCCGTTCGCCTGAAACGTCGCTTCAGCCATGAACCTCTGATCAGGCTAACGTTATTGTTATGTTATTGTCGCCTCTGGGACACTGACCACAGGCCTCCGTTTTGTTTAGATGAGCCCTGAGATTCTACTTGGGCAAAGCCATTCCTTTATTTCCTTCCTTAAAATACACCCGCCACGGTCCACGTGAACTATCGCTGGCATTCCGCAGAAAATCAACACGTGAAAGGCTCCGGAAGGGGTGGGGTGTTCAAAGCGAATTCCACTGGAATGTGTCACAGCATAAATTCCACACCTTGGGGGCGAGGTGACATGGGGTATGGGATCTCCCTCCGTCCATAGAAGTTGAAATCGGAAAGCTAGCTTTTGCTCTGCGTGCTTTTGCAGTGACACCTCTTACAAGAGCTTCCGGAAATCTCGTTCTGTATGTTCAGTTATCAGCGGTTCTCAACCTGTGGGTCGCGACCCCTTTGGCGGTCGAACGACCCTTTCACAGGGGTCGCCTAAGGCCATCCTGCATATCAGATATTTACGTTAAGATTCATAACAGTAGCAACATTACAGTTATGAAGTAGCAACGAAAATAATTTTATGGTTGGGTCACAACATGAGGAACTGTATTTAAAGGGCCAGAAGGTTGAGAACCACTGAGTTAGATGCACCCTTCCCAGACAGCCCGGGACAAGGACAGGCGGTGACATGACCACCCTGGCTCCTCGGAGCCTCACGCCTCTGACAGCGCCCGCGGGAACAGAGGCCTGGGTCCCAGCCTGGCTTGTGAACTAGTTCAGGACCCAGCAGGAAAAAGACATGCAGATAAATGTATGAATCAAATTAGCTGTGCGACTTTAGGCAAATGCTTCAAAAATTCTCGAAACAGCCCGGCTGGTGTGGCTCAGTTGTTGAGCGTCGACCTATGAACCAGGTTTGATTCCCGGTCCTGGTACATACCAACGTCAACTCCTGTTGGAAAAACAGTGCAGCCCAAAGCATAGTTCATCTACCCAAGAAAGAGCGAAGAGCAAAGAAGAGCGAGTGTGCCCGGCTAAGGCAGGGGAGCGAGCGAGCACAGGACCAACCACCCCCGAGTGTGGTTTCCTCATCCGAGGTGCGGGCAGCGGGCAGCTGGTCCTGCCCTGTCGGACACAGCAAAGCACCTACGACCCCACAAGCCACCAAAAACAAGGCACGCTTTCCTGTTGGCACATGGACCATTTATGTTCACGCTGGCACCTGTTAGAAACTCATTCACAGAATAACTGCCTTGCTTCTTCAAGCCGGTCCATGAAAGATGCTTTCCCCCACGTGGGAAGTAATGGTCGCGCGCTGCCACCTGAGCAGAGGGCTCCGACTACAAAGACAGACTGTGGTTTCTTGCCACACGTAGGGGTCAGATTCCCATTTGCAGAGAGAAATAGATTTGGAAGGATATTCTTGCTACAGCTGAATATCTCCAGCACCTCTGCTGCCTGCTTCTCCTCATGACATGAGCTGGTTGAGGAGGAAACTAATGGCCCGTTCAAGGCTGGGACCCAGGCCCCGTGTTCTCCCGGCTGTGCCCTCAGGTGAGCCCGAGTCACTTGGACCTGCTGCTAATGCTCACTGCTAATATCTGCACCTAAGATCCACGTGTGCTCAAACTCTCACTGAAGCATAAGCCCAGTACAGCTGAGTGTTAACTAGTAAAAACAAGCTTAAATTGGCAAATCAAAAAACACTGCTTATGACAAAATTAATAAAACTGTGCTTTTAAAATATTTAAAATTTAGAGGGGTAATTCCTCAATGAATATAAATAGACTTTTATTGTATGTGCTACTTGTTTTCCCAGGTTTTTTGTGACCAGATCTCTTGATAGCTGACTTAATAGGAAATTAAGCCCTACACTGTCATTTCTTTCATTACTGACTAGGTTTGGCTTGGTCCACAATCCAGCTCAGAGTTCTGGCTGAAGAAATTAGAATCAGCTTTCTAGATATTCTCTCTTGTATATAACCTCCCATTTGAGTTCATTTTCATCTGTCATGGATTATTAAAAAAGCAATCCTCAATTAAGAGCAGAGGCTAAATTAATTGCATCTGGGGGTGGGGGCAGATTCATTAATGCCTTAACACACCGAGCTGCTATCCTTACACGCAATACACAGGAAAGTGATGTCTCTTCTCTTGACAATGCCCTTGTGCTAAAAGGCAGCATCGTTTTATGTAGTACGCTCACGCGGTAAACAAGAGCACCTCTATGTACGGGGTAATTACAAAGGCGGATGGAGAACATTCCTAACCACCAGGCTGCCTGTGAGATATGCCAGCACCTGCTGATTCACCGTCACACTTAAAACAGAGAGAACCCAACAGAGAGAAACAAAACAGCTCCAACCCAACAGAAAGAGAAACAAAATTGTTCCTGCGGACGTAAAAACAGTAAACAATCTTAAATCCTAATTGTGACTTGAAAATTATCTTGGTGGTCTCCTTCGTTTCTCTATTAACTTAATCAGGAGTCAGGTCAATTAAGATATTTAACAATAATTTTTAAAAGTTCAAAACCAATTTTTGGTATAAAAATCACTATGAAACCTGAGCTAGGTGCAATAAAGACATTTAAGAGTTTTACTTATTTGCGTCTCACTACTCCCGGGTTATGAAGAGCATGGTTCCTTTGGGTGCGGCCGGGTGCTTGGAGGCTGCCTGTTCATTAGCGCCAGGCTCCAGGCGTGAGGACCCCAGGGCAGCCCTCACAGAGCCTGGGGCTGAGGAATGTGTGGGGGAAGATTGTGAGGCAGACGAGGGTCCATGAATCTGGTGCAGAATCAAAATTTCTACAGAGAAACAATGTACCCACAGCAGCAAATGACCCTCGATGGTAAAATCGAAGGAAGTCTTATTAATATGGCAAGCCTTCTTCATTGAAGAATGAGTAGTTGACTCTGGCTTTTCTATGCTCTAAAAAGATTTGAAACCTCCGAATGGCGTGAAGGCTGACCCGGTTCCGCTGTCCAGCGTAGCCTTTATGAACACGTATCACCCACAGGCTCTTCCGCGGACCCAGGGATGCGGAGGTACACAAGGCCCGCCTGGCCC